TATTATCATATAAAGTGGATATCAAACTTATTCAATTTCCCTAGTGAATCATAAGGCCAAAAGTTTGCTTCGTGTGACAAGAAGTCTTATAAGAAACACGAAGGAGACAGAGAAGAAGGAAGGATCGAGAGATATTGACGAGGAGAGGGACGAGGAAATGACTTCATAGAAAACGGGTTTTGATTTGAGGGATGCGAAATGTAAAGCTTTTTTTTTTATTGATGATATTTGATTATGATATAACACATTTTCCATAGAAATGTGTTATATATTACCTGTCTTTTATGCCATATGTTGATTTCTTTTGCTGTAGTTGGGTCTGAACAATTACATAATAAATCTAGTGTCCCGTTTTCTTTACACTCTTTCTTTGAACTGAGTCCATGGGTATCACGGTATTTTCGCTAGACGAGACGATAAAAAACAAAACAAAAAAAACTTTGGGGTTCCGAAAGAGTGAAGTTACTCCTGCTCTACCCCTGTCTATCTGTGTATCTCTTTCTTTACTTTTTTTCAACCATTTTCTTCTTTTCCATATCCCTGTCTCTCCCTCCCTGTTTCATTATGTCTGTCTGTCAGTCTCTTTTTCTTTCTCGTTCCCTCTCTGTATCTTATTCTCTTTCTCTGTATCTTTCTTTCTTGCAGTCCGTCTATTCTCTCATTTTCTCTCTTTCTCTGTCTCTTTCTTTCTCTTTGTCTATCTCCTTACCTCCCTCCCTCCCTCCTTCGTCTCTCTCTCTCTCTCTCTCTCTCTCTCTCTCTCTCTCTCTCTCTCTCTCTCTCTCTCTCTCTCTCTCTCTCTCTCTCTCTCTTTCTCTCTCTCTCTCTCCTTTTCATCCTCTCATCTTCCCCTCTCCATGCTCTCACCTACCCCTGGCCCTCCTCTCCTCCCTCTCCCTTTTCCCTCTCCCTCCCCCCTCCACCGTTCTTCCCTCCGCCGTCTCCCCTTCCCTCCCCCCCCCCTCTCAGAAACAGACGAATCCAAATAACATAACTTTTTGAAACTGTTGCCTAGTGTGTCTCTTTAATGGTCTTTCGAAAGCCAAAAGTGCTTATCTCATCACAACATCGCTTTGAGAAGATAAAAGATAAAAACTTTTTTTTTTATAAGAGTATCTATTATTTTGATTATCATTTTGTGTATTTGTTTGAGAAGCATATTATAAACAGAATTACGGTATAGAAATTGATGAACTGGGAATCGTCTGTCATTTGTTTATAAATTTGTGGATGGAATGAGAAATTATTTTGTCTGGTACTTTGTTTTTTTTTTTCTTTAATCCCTCTCTCCCCTTACCACCCAGTTCCTCCTGTGACACCCCCCCTCCCCCCCATGTCACTCGTTTCCCAACCATTGCCTCTTTCCTCAATATCACATTGCTCTATCCAATCCTATTCTATCCCTATCCCTAATCATCCCACTTTCTCTCCTCTTATTTTGCTCGATCACCCCCCCACCACTCTATTCCTATCTCTCCATCACTCCTTCAGCCTCCTATCCTGCTCGTTCAACCTCCTATCCTATCCACCATCACTATCTTCTCACTCTCCTCGCTTTCAACTCCCAAAATCACCTTTTCCTCATTTTCCTTCCTCATTTTCCTTCCTCATTTTTCTTCCTCATTTTCCTTCCTTTTCCTAACCCTAATCTACCCTTTTCCTTAACGCCCAATCTTCCCCAATCGATGTCTTTCCCTAATTCGTTACCTCTGATTTTCCCTTAATTACAACCCTCTTATCCTCCCACACTCTTCCTCTTACCTTTCTCTTTAATCTAATCCTTTCTTATCAACTGTCTCCCCTTTTTCTCTTTACCTTACTCCCTTTCCTTCCTCTCTCCTTCCCACCTCTTCTATTACTCTTTCCCCTCTCTCTAGTTCTCCCCAAATCTCCATCTACCCTATCTCCTTTCCCACAGCTTTCTCCTACCTCCTCTTCCCCATCCTCTTCCCTTACGCTCCCCCTCCTCCACGATTCCCTCACCTCCCCCACCCCTCCATCCCAATTCCCTCCCCCCCCACCCCTCCATCCCAATTCCCTCACCCCCCATCCCTCCTCCCCAACCTTTTCCTCTACCCTTCCCCTCCCCCCCTCCAACTCATCCTTCAACATAAAATACATCAGTCAGTCATAAAAATAAAACAAATTTATCAACCCAGATCAAATAAACACATTTACAATGATCTGAAAGAAAAGGAAATAAATACTGAAAGAATGAGAGCATTTCTAATCGGATTTTACTTAAAGCGTAATATATATTTTTTTCAGAACTCTCTCTCTCTCTCTGTGCGTGTGTGTGTCCCTGTCCCTCTTTCTCTCTCTCTCTTTCTCTCGCTCTCTCTCTCTCTCTCATCTCTCTCTCTCTCTCTCTCTCTCTCTCTCTCTCTCTCTCTTCTCTCTCTCTGTCTCCTTGTCCCCCTCTCTCTCTCTCTCTCTCTCTCTCATCTCTCTCTCTCTCTTCTCTCTCTCTCTCTCGCTCTCTCTCTCTCTCTCCTCTCTC